CGTTCGGATGGTTTATAGAAAAATGGTTGATGGTGAACAGATGATACCGACCAATTAGATCTCAAATACCTCCTCTGATAAGTTGGTTTGTAAAATGCGGATATCTCCCAAGGCTTACTAACTCCAAACGTACTGTGCAGATATTGTCGGAAATATTTTCGTATTCGTTTACACAAACCAAGGCGCCAAACTATAGAAACCTGATGAAGAACATCACAACTCCACGTAATCCATGGTCTGTCAGTTTTGAGAAAAAAATGAAATAGCATCAAGTAGATGTGCGATCGGGTCCCCAAGTGCCCAAAGTCCTCACTGAGACTCAACCATTTGCTGGGTATAAGGAGATCGGACACGTCTCCCGTTAGATCATCAGTCCTTCGACAAGTTTGAGCAGCCACCGGTCTAACCAACTGCTAACTTTTTCAAACAACGTCATGATTGCCGGTGTGAGTGGCTTACCTAAACGGTCAGTCCTGAAAGGGGAACAAACAAATAACCAACAATGGGGTGGACATTCTACCAGGAGTTGACCATGAAGTACCACTGAAAGCTTAACTGCACTAGGATATGGGACCTTCGGGATCAGACAGTAGCCTTACAGTAAACAGCCAGAAATGATTCCCAGTACAGCATTTGCTACCTCTCCGGTGCTCCGCGTGGATCAACGGCCATTCAGAACAACCATTAGCGGTTTAAGTCGTATATCGACCGCATTGGATAGAAATTCGGCCAACGCGGTCAAGCGCTGAGCTACAGGAGTGTGCCGACGGTTTGACACTGACCTTTTCTGACAGTTTTTTTCCCTGAAGAAGGCACATCCGGGGACGGGATAGTTCAATGGTTATAGCCCGAATTTACTGACCAAAAGGTCCGTGGTTCAAACCCGACCTCTGCCTCTAGACTTCCCTTGTCTAGGCTTGGGCAACCTGCCAGTATTCTAGCCCTCGTGCTTCCTTTGGGTGGCATGGCAGCTAGGCACCGAAAAGGTATTACAGCTGAACCATTTTTTTCTGAGGAAGGCATCATCGCTCTTCCACAAACACGTCTATTCTGGCCGTCATGCTCTTATCGTAGAGAATAAAAAGAATGTACCTCAGGACCGCCTCGTGTTACGGTTAATTTTAGTACGAGGGTTCAGTGCACTTCGTCCCACCACTTCTCTTTGATCTTCTTGTCATATTTGCACTTTATGGAACAGAGCACCTTAAAGCACTAACATCTGGCGCCAGCTATTGATCAGGAGTCCTTTGAAGAGAGAAAGTGCTACGATAAAATATCACCAGACAATGGTTAGACAGAATTCCACACGGATCCCGCTTTACCGCTCGTAGTAAGGTGCTGCTACGGCCGAGAAGCCTATCCCACGCAAAAATGGCCAAAGTTTGGGACGCTTGCAGGTCCGGCATCAAGCCGAGATCTGATTGGTCGAAAGTCCGGACTCAACAGCCAATCATAACCTAGTATTGGTCCAATGCCGGTTGCTAATGTTGCATCCAGAAGGCGTCAGAATTTCCAGAAAGTTGTCGCCGCTTACACTCCATACATGAAGCGCTGTAAAAGTGTTCTTGATTTCGTTTTGGGCCTTAATATACCTTTGGTGTTTGTGTTGACGTGAACGCTAGCCTGGGAGGCTCAGACCGGGAACTAAGCTGGAGAAAATACCGTTACTATTGCAATCAGAGATGAACTTTCAGTTTGTAAATGAGAAAAGCACGCTGCTAACTTACCAATGCTTTGTCAGCCAATACTTGGCACAGCTGTGACATTTCTGTCCGCTGCCCGCCCGCGTCGTGCAGGGTGAGATGGAAATAGTTACCACGGTAACCGGCAAACGGGCTCGAATCACACTGCAATGAAGAGGCTGTGGTACTATTCAGCCGTGGGAGACACCATTCCTGATCACGAGGTATGGAGACTAGAACAGGGGGACCATTGGGATCTGGCGGTTTCGTAGGCCATGGTGTTAAGCCAGCCAACTCGTAGTGCAGCGCAGCATGTGAAATTAGTCGAGAGATATGGAGACATGGCTGAAGACTAGAGATGAAAAATGGGCACGAGAAATGAAGGCTGATAGCCCCGGACAACGAAAAATTATTGCTGACACAGTTAGCATTCATCCATCGAGTTGGGATGGGGAAAAGTTTCCATACGGCTTTAGGCAGAGTGTATTTTCAACGAATCTGTCCCTGTGAAAGGCCAGCTGGAGCAGGAAATCAATATAGGGTTCCGCATCATGTTCAAGTTATTGGCACTTGGATGCTTGCAAACGTATGACATAAATCGGACCATCACTGTGTCAAAATATTGGTAATCGACCGGGTGGCCATTGATCTGTTCGCCTGGAGGTTCGCAAACGTTTCGTCCACAGTCTAGAGGACATAGTGCGGAGTGGGTACATTATCGCTACCCGCTTGCGTTTATATAGCTTTCAAAGAGTACCCGATATGTTATCACGTGATTGGCTGGTTCGTACGTACATTTCTTGTGACCTTATTGGCTCGTCCACAATCTGCGTTGTGTTGTGGTCGGCACTTCTCGTACTCCATCGGTTTATCGGACAGCTTTTCCTAGAAGTCTCTAGGTCCGCGTTCAAAGCAGCCTGTTCCACGTTTGTGTTGCGTTTTGGTCTGTTCCCCATTAATTTGAAATCACCACAACGACCAATCAAATTGAGCAATGACCCAATCAACTACGCACTGACGATGCCTCCCCGACTGGGACCGAAACGTTTGGAAGTAAACTGCCAAGTTCGGCGAAGAGATCAACGGCCATCTGACCAAACACCCATAAATTGGGTCGCCAAGATACCACACAAGGTAGAAAGTGAAATACCGTCAACAACGATCAAAAATAGTGGGTCAAAGCTCAGTACGTTTGCATAGAAATAGTCACACTGAAAGACGGAATAGAAAAGGATTGACTTTTTGGTTCATTTGCGTTGGTGTTTGGTTCGCTCTGGCCTCGAGTTCAAGGTTCTTTCATATTCATGCTAATTTTATTCAACCTCGCTAGGATAACCTCCAAATCCGGTTAGGAATGAAAACTGTGTAATGACCTCACTGGTGTTGTTAGTGGTCCCTAACTGCTATTTTACCTTGTAAGCGTGTGGCGATTTACGTATGAAGTTCAACTGCGTTTGTGTGCGAGCAGCCGCTGTAGCCCAGTCTATGATGAACTATTCCACCGTTTTTCAGGATACAGGGTCTTTGAACCGTTGGATATTTTGCTCAGAATTAGATGACTCAACCGCCCGAATCACCAAAACGGTGAACAGTGACATCGTGGGATGAGCGAATATACAAACTAGCTTGTACTTTGAGTGCGTGAGTGAGTTGAGTGAGTGAGTGAGTGAGTGAGTGAGTGAATGAGTGAGTGAGTGAGTGAGTGAGTGAATGAGTGAGTGAGTGAGTGAGTGAGTGAATGAGTGAGTGAGTGAGTGAGTGAGTGAATGAGTGAGTGAGTGAGTGAGTGAGTGAATGAGTGAGTGAGTGAGTGAGTGAGTGAATGAGTGAGTGAGTGAGTGAGTGAGTGAATGAGTGAGTGAGTGAGTGAGTGAGTGAATGAGTGAGTGAGTGAGTGAGTGAGTGAATGAGGAGTGAGTGAGTAGTGAGTGAGTGAGTGAGTGAGTGAGTGAGTGAGTGAGTGAGTGAGTGAGTGAGTGAGTGAGTGAGTGAGTGAGTGAGTGGATGAATGAGTGAGTGAGTGAGTGAGTGAGTGAATGAGTGAGTGAGTGAGTGAGTGAGTGAATGAGTGAGTGAGTGAGTGAGTGAGTGAATGAGTGAGTGAGTGAGTGAGTGAGTGAATGAGTGAGTGAGTGAGTGAGTGAGTGAATGAGTGAGTGAGTGAGTGAGTGAGTGAATGAGTGAGTGAGTGAGTGAGTGAGTGAATGAGTGAGTGAGTGAGTGAGTGAGTGAATGAGTGAGTGAGTGAGTGAGTGAGTGAATGAGTGAGTGAGTGAGTGAGTGAGTGAATGAGTGAGTGAGTGAGTGAGTGAGTGAATGAGTGAGTGAGTGAGTGAGTGAGTGAATGAGTGAGTGAGTGAGTGAGTGAGTGAATGAGTGAGTGAGTGAGTGAGTGAGTGAATGAGTGAGTGAGTGAGTGAGTGAGTGAATGAGTGAGTGAGTGAGTGAGTGAGTGAATGAGTGAGTGAGTGAGTGAGTGAGTGAATGAGTGAGTGAGTGAGTGAGTGAGTGAATGAGTGAGTGAGTGAGTGAGTGAGTGAATGAGTGAGTGAGTGAGTGAGTGAGTGAATGAGTGAGTGAGTGAGTGAGTGAGTGAATGAGTGAGTGAGTGAGTGAGTGAGTGAATGAGTGAGTGAGTGAGTGAGTGAGTGAATGAGTGAGTGAGTGAGTGAGTGAGTGAATGAGTGAGTGAGTGAGTGAGTGAGTGAATGAGTGAGTGAGTGAGTGAGTGAGTGAATGAGTGAGTGAGTGAGTGAGTGAGTGAATGAGTGAGTGAGTGAGTGAGTGAGTGAATGAGTGAGTGAGTGAGTGAGTGAGTGAATGAGTGAGTGAGTGAGTGAGTGAGTGAATGAGTGAGTGAGTGAGTGAGTGAGTGAATGAGTGAGTGAGTGAGTGAGTGAGTGAATGAGTGAGTGAGTGAGTGAGTGAGTGAATGAGTGAGTGAGTGAGTGAGTGAGTGAATGAGTGAGTGAGTGAGTGAGTGAGTGAATGAGTGAGTGAGTGAGTGAGTGAGTGAATGAGTGAGTGAGTGAGTGAGTGAGTGAATGAGTGAGTGAGTGAGTGAGTGAGTGAATGAGTGAGTGAGTGAGTGAGTGAGTGAATGAGTGAGTGAGTGAGTGAGTGAGTGAATGAGTGAGTGAGTGAGTGAGTGAGTGAATGAGTGAGTGAGTGAGTGAGTGAGTGAATGAGTGAGTGAGTGAGTGAGTGAGTGAATGAGTGAGTGAGTGAGTGAGTCCTTTTCAAACCAAGGATGTAACCTGCTGCAAGTGACAAATTTCTGAGAACAGTCTTGGCAGACAAGGCGGCCCCTCATTGGTTACGTGACAGGGATGGCACAAACAAAAAGCTGAAATTTACCTCGTTGCGTACTTCTAAAACCAGCGGGCTCCGTTGTGAACACATTCATAATAGTTACAGTATGAACACAAATCACACTTGTTGAGGCTAAACAGTGAATCAAAAGAATAAAAGACTGTCTGAATGTACACGCGAGCACTATTCAACTTCGACATGCAATATGTCCGAAGTCTGACAGAAACTTTAGGCAGGGTCGTCAGTCTGGACTGATCAAAATTTAGCCATCCGACCGATCAATCTGCTACTCTGCATCGAGAAACACAGATACGAATGGCCGATCAGAAAGCCCGCAGTCAGCTTCCGTGAGCTTATCATTTGACGTTTTGACTGAATCTCCCTCAGGAATCGCTCTTGTCACAGTACCAGCCTACTGATATAGTTGACGAATCTATACCACAGAAGATCCGCTGTATATCGGTGACCGTTCGAGTCACAGAAAGTCAGTGCCTAGCTGCCACGCCACGCGAAGGAAGTACGAAGGCTGGGATACTTCCAGGTCTCCCAAGCCTAGACAGGAGCAACCGAGATGCCCGGGGGTTGGGTTCGAACCATAAACCTTCCGGTTAGTGAGTTCCCGTCTGGGCTGCTTCCAGCTTGATATAGTGTGTTAGGTAGCTGAAATTGCTTAGTGATTCGAACCGTCGTAAAACCACTGTAATTACGCCAGGCTAAAATAGAATGCCAATGAAAAGTCGCCGCGTTCCAAACAGACTGACAACAAAAGCATCATATACTTACAGAGAGTCAAATATAGCGAGCTTTCCACGTCTGTAGGTGTAAAGTTCGAGGAACAGCGAGAATTCTGGTTTTGGATGACCCCAAGATAGAAGTGTGACGCCCAGAAAGGTACAAGGGGTCTGCTTCACCACAGTGGTGAATATATTGTTTGCCATGGTGCCAACTGAGCTGTTCTGAGCCATACGCTCACCCAGGCGAGCAATGATATCAGAACTGGCCTGCAGTTTCCTGGACTTAACGATGAGTGGACTCGTGATTTGGGACATCTTTTCGTCTGAGGTTTTCTCTTCCCCATGCGAAGACAAAGTCGACTGTGAACCGGAGGTTAAACTTCGACGCGCAGTTCTGGCAGGTTGGTTCCATACCTAGATGAAGGAATATAGAACAGTGAACGCAACGGACAGAGAGCGAGAAACCACAAAACGACGTAATGCGTGAGAAACAGCTCTGATGAGGTTAACAGAGCATATCAGCTCTAATCGAGGTGTGAAGTTTCAGTTCTTTCATGGCTACTGATCAAAAACCTAATTTTATAAAACCTCACTTACTCCCCCTAATTTGTGCTTGATGAAATCTCCCGTGAGCTGTGGTTCTTTTTGTGACGCTTTCGTTCCACAAGGGAAACTTTGAAACTTACGGGTTCCGATCAAGAAAGTGTCCACAAAAACTGTCTCCTTTGACAGCAATGACTTCCTGCAACTTAGAGTTAGAGAAATGACGAGCGAATTATTGAATCTAACATGCCCTTCATTCATTTGCTTACTCCGTCCATGTACTTTTGATCTGTACCCTCCGCAAAGGCCGTACAATGCGACATTGGTATATTGTCATCTGTACTTGTCTCAGGTTTTGGTGGATGCGAGACTCTGTAGAATACCTGTCCACGTGACTCGTGGCGCGATCATTCTGGTGGGTCAACCACACGAAGGGGGGGGGAAGCACCGGACTCGAGTTTCCTTCCTATTAGACCAGCAGTGCCGTTCCGGGGTTTGAACTGCGCACACCTGACATTTGGGGCTAGCGTGTTACCTCTACTCCACTGGCGCACGTCTGAACAGATGAACATGTTCGCGCTTGAGCGATATGAGCGCAACGTCCGACGCTTCGAACGACGACCCAGTAACCTACCTTGGTTGTGCCGATCGATTGACCCACCAGTCAGGATTTCCCAGTCAGGTAGCGCCGTGGACGCTTGAAACACATTTTGCCTCATTTATTGGTGGTTGTTGGATTTAGTGGAACACCTACTGACATGATTCTTGTTTAAACAATCGTCGTCCTGTCCAATTAATTCATCACCTCCCGCCTCCAATGCGCAGCCACCTGCCCCACTTCCCCAAACCATCGGTGAACGAAAGTGTGGCAGCCACAACCAATGTACGACAAGCACGCGGTACTCACAGCTGGTGAGTTCACACCAAAGAGGGACGCAGCTGACCTACTAACCCATGCGTGTTCGTGCCCGTTTGCTAAACCTGCCCTAACTTGTTCTCTCATGATTCCCGTGGAATCGCACCGCCAACCAGAATCACTAGACTGTCATCGGAAAGAACGATTTTAACCCACACTACGCAGCCAACATTGCGCCCGCCGTTGTCTGGTGTGCGGACCTCGACACTGCCAGTCAACGACAGGATTGTGCACTTGGACCCACGAACATCGAAACTTGAGTTTTGTTGTATAACCTCGCTTACCTTTGCATAAATAGTACCGCAAACTTTCGAACCCAATTCTTTCTTTTGATATTCGGGATCGTCAAACCTACGTGTGACTCAAGTTTAAGTATTGGGCACCTCAACACAGATAGTTTTAACAATATTGAAGAAAGGGAGCTGTAATTTGACCGCAGTCAAATAGTGAAGCACCGCACGTGGTACGCGCATACAGAATTCAAGTTTTGATAGCCCAAAAGATGAGGAGTAATTAGACGAGAATGTTAGTTTTCCGTTCGTTTCGCATGATCTACTAAGACAAAATGGCAAATATCTTAAAGAACAAGTTCCTTGAAAACATGTTATAGTGAACAAGACTGACATTCACCTTCTTTCGACAGTCTTCGGAAGTCGAACTTCTTGTTTTTCGCACTTTTAGATTTTGAGATGGATCCAGAAAAGGTCGCATCTACAACTACCCCAAATATATCGATTCACAAAGTTTATTAACAGTCCAAGCGACGAAAAAGTCACTCGGGCTACACACAATCTCTCGAAAACATGTTCGAGTATCACTCAACCATTGCTCCCAAGTGGTAAAGTATCAACCACTGGAAATTGTGGAAAACTTTACATACCTCGGTAGTTGTATTAGCTCTGACGGAAGTGTGTCTGATGAAGTCAGTGCAAGAATCTCAAAGGCTCGAATCACGTTTGCTAATTTGCGTCACTTGTGGCGTCAAAAAGGCATCTCACTGGATCTTAATGGTCGTGTGTACCAGGCTACAGGCTACAGTAAGGGCTGTGTTGTTGTATGGGTGCGAGACATGGCCTCTGCGGGTAGAGGATGTTAGGCGTCTTCAGGTTTTCGACCACCGATGCCTCAGAAGCGTGGCTGGTGGTGGATGGCGTCAGCGTGTCAATAACGAGGCGGTCAGAAAACGGGTATTTGGTTGTGCTGCAGGCACCTCAATCCGGTAAAACATCCAGCATCATCGACTACGATGGCTCGGTCATGTGCTACGCATGCCGAAACACCGTCTACCGAGACGAGTGTTGTTCTCCGTGCCTCCTTCAGGATGGCGTAAACCGCGAGGTTGATGATGATGATGATGATGATGATGATGATGATGATGATGATGATGAAAGCATCATAGCTGAGAGTTGTGCACTGCCTTATACGAAGTGTGGCTATCTCTTGGGACTGTTCTACCTAGCATCATTAGGGAAAATAAAGCTTAATCCAGCGAGATCTCACTGAAGAAAACAGCTGGTATGGCCATGACAGATTTGGTCTCAAAAGAAAAGCGATCTGAGAATCGAAGCGATAATATTAACGGATGGGAATACAAAGGTCAAATCTTTGCTTGAAGAGGTCAACAGACTAAGATTCGAGACGCAGTGAAGTTGGGGTAAATGACAGATCACCACCAAAATGACTCGCCGTAACCTTTGATATGGACCTTTGGAAAGAAGAACACATAGTCGCCGCATCAAAGGGTAGGCTTCTAAATTACAAAGCCGAAATCGCCAGGGATTAAGGGACGAACTTACTGGCTGGAAGGTTTGTGGTTCGGACCCAACCTGCGAGAATTGCGTCCAGGGTTGGACAACATGACAGCACCTCGTGCTTTGTTCAGAGGGCAGTTCGAACAAGCAGAGAATCGCGGTGGCAAAATCGCATCATTCAACATCACCATTGTACCTTTTCAAGCGCTCACACTTGGTTCCGGGAAGAAGATTGAAGACAAGCTTCAAAACATGCTCCATACGATTGTGAGCGATGTTCCCACCAGACCCGACCCGACCAGACCGACATCTATCGTATGTCCTCTGCACGCAGAGGGCACGCTTCCGATCCATAAAGCAGTATGAATGGCACTGCTACGGTGGAAACTCTACCATGACAGAAAAAAGACCCAACTACGGCGCCATAGATTTCCGAAGTTGACAAAAGATGCACTGGACTTCCTGATTCGACAAGTAATCTCATCTCCAGCCAGTCCACCGGAACTTATACCCAGATAAACAAATTTATTTACCACATTGATTGGTTGGTCTCCAAGCAGGACTTTACACTTTACTGGTATGAACTGCACGCTAAACCGTGCGGCAGAGTTATTTGGGTTATTCAAAATCGTTTGCATGTGGGAAGGAGAGGAATATCGTCTACATACTCAATGCCTGTGAGTAAACATTGCTGGAGCACTTGGACCCCAGAGGTTTCAGCTGTAACACCTTTTCGGTGCCTAGCTACCATGCCACCTGGAGGAAACACTGTTAAGTTTCCCAGGTTTCGATATAAGCCGACGAGGGGTTCGAACCATGGACCTTCCGATTGGTAAGTTCTCACCTTAAACACAGAGCTATCTTGAGCTCGGGCAATGGAGATGACAGATTTGCGAACTCATATTACTGTAGCGCTGATTGAGTCCGTTTCAACTTTGCTACACGCAACTTTCGTGTCTACTCACCGTGTGGTAACTGCTCTCGCCTTATCGATCGATTCCGAGGTGCCGCTACACTGCTACACTAATATACTTACACAATAAGAGAAAATAGTTGTCAATACAACTGTCCTAGTCAAACAGCCATTTTGGGTGAGACAACGTCAAAGTGGAGAATGGACACGGAGAGTATGATAAATAGAGAACAACGGACACGGAAAGTTGAAATGACATCATCAGAACGAGCCTCAGAACGAGTACATCATCGCCCCCACACCAAAAGTGCAAAAACATCCATACCGTAGTTCAGTTGTAACATCCGTTCGGGGCCTAGCTGTAATTCCATCCGAAGGAACGCTTGGAGATGAAATACTGCCAGATTGTCTAAGCCTAGACAGAAGTAGTCGAAACGGTGGGGCTGGGTTCCAACGACGGACCATGGGAGCGAGATGGACCAAGTGGTTAGAGCGCGAAGTTACTGACCAGAAGGTCCGTGGTTCGAACCCGACCTCTGCCTCTCGACTTCCGTTGTCCAGGCTTGGATGACCTAGCAGTATCCCAGCCCTCGTGCCTCCTTCGTGTGGCATGGCAGCTAGGCACCGAAAGGGTGCTACAGCTGGACGGGGGGGTTTTCACGGACCCTCCGGTCAATAAGTTCGCGCCTTAACCATTGAGCTGTCTCGAGCTCCTACCGAATGAAGGTCACTGCTTTAAATTTACGCCAATGGAAACAGTATATATATATACATATGTATATATATATATATATATATAT